CGAAGTTCTACGTTGTTAATGACTGACTGACTGACTGACTGACTGACTGACTGACTGACTGACTGACTGACTGACTGACTGACTGACTGACTGACTGACTGACTGACTGACTGACTGACTGAGGGGAATTGGAAAACCCTGAGTTCAAACCAAGGGTGCAAATGGGCCACAGTATCCTGAGGGAACAAATGTTGCATGAACCAATCATTGGTCACCGGTTACCATGGGACTGCATCTTCTTATGTCGCTCCACTGCCTTGTGGATCAGACCCTCGGGTGAAAGGCTCCGGGTGTGGCTCCCTAAGAAAACCACCTGCTTCGGTTCGGGCACGCGGGCAGTATCCCAGCCCTCACATAAGTCAAATGATTTATGTGGCACATATCTATTTGGTGTCTCTTTGTACCAATGTTTAAATAAATAAATAAATAAATACTATACATTTACGTAGACTTCCTTGTAACTATATATATATATATATAGTGGTGAGCTCTAAGTGCATTGAACATGTGTTGACAAATAGGGAGGAAGGTTTTATTAATAACAAATATTAATATCGACAGCAAGATGATACCATTAATTAGATAGAACAGTATAGTATAATTTCTACACTAAAATATACAGCAGAATTTCACTAAGGTCATCTAATCATTTAAAATTTTATCATACCATTGTTTTTATCTAAAATCTTATATGATAACGAGGAAACCTGACGAAAAATTCATTTTCTTAAGTTTCCTAACTTATCTATGCCAATAGCTCTACTTACATTAGAATCCAATTATGTCGAAATAAACAAGCAGAATATCAAAAGAAGGCAGAAAATTTGAAACACACAAATCAAGATGTTTCAACTTCACAAATAGTAAATAGTGAAATTTCCCCTCTTTAGCAATTATTTGAAGTGAAATATTAAAAAAATCTATTGTATGTTTTGCAGTTCATTTCTAGAGAAGCTGCATGATCGTGCATTTTAACAACATTTAAATACACATATCCCTTGGATGTTAAGGCTTCACAATCAACACAAAGTTATGGGATCTAATTAATGGTGCATTTATAGAGAGTCTAATACTTGGTACTACAGTGCACATTGTATAGTGTTTATGTGCAAATCGAAAAAGATCTTAAGTACAACTGGATACAAGTGAAATATATTACACAACTAAAAATATGTATATTAGTAGTATATAATAGGTAACCTACTTATTTTCCAACTACAGTTTTACGTAATCGCTGTTGTATCAGACTATATGCATGAAAATGAATCATGTTCCCAGGTTGCACAAACGAAGTGTGTGGAGCGAATTTCAAACGAACAATTCGATGGTTGAAAGTCAAGTGCTTTGCCACTAAGCTACTAACCATAACAATCGGCGAGAGTATTCATATTTCTATCTATAATTCTGAATCACTAATTTTTACCCACATGTATGAAGGTGTCGTGAACTTGTCAACTAGAAACACATGATTTTAGACCTTTTCAAGCTTATGCATTTCAATAACAAAATAGACAAACTCAATGATTTCAGATAAATGAAGATCATGAAAAGTTAGAAAGATTACTATGACATATGAGGATAAGTTATTTTGGGCTTCCAGTACATGAAATAGTAACCAACCTCGTTACATACATATCTGAGAGCTTACTTATATATTTAATTTCACATAACTGCTATATGTGTTCATCAGCACCTTTGGAACCTGGTCCACCCTATATGCTGAAACTTCACTTATCAGTCAAAGAAGTTATTCAACTTGAAAGAAATTGATCGCCTGATAACTACTGATGTAGCCAGTGAAAAGTATACTAAGATACAAAAGGCGATATCATTATTGGTTATAGTAAAAATTGGGGATGTTCTGGACAATAATAATAAAAACTTTTCAAGCAGCTAAATGACCGTATTTATAGAATCTCTGATGGTGACCGGAGTGTGACTAAGCTAAAAGAAGACAAGACTGATTATTTCAAATTAAAACATTAGTTTATGAGGTATGCAAAAGGTTATAATCTTGATTTTAGCCTTATGGATCACATAAATCAAAAATTAAATACCCTTGGTAGAATAGCTTAAAGTAAACCAAAATAAAGTAGGTGCATTTCCATTTTGTTTCATATATCTTGAACATAATACTGTTCTTTATTCCTTGCATTGATACATATTCACTTGGCTCATTTTAACATCACTCTACTGGTTACTTAGCTTTTACGGTGAATAAAAAATTAGTATATAAACATTGTGAGGTATCTCCTCTCGAACACTATTGGTCAAATCAGAGCTTACGGTGAACTATCATCTCAATCGTCAATCCCAAGTGAGGTTCAACAGGGTTGCCCTTACTTACTTACTTACGCCTGTTACTCCCAATGGAGCATAGTCCGCTGACCAGCATTCTCCAACCCACTCTGTCCTGGGCCTTCTTTTCTAGTTCCATCCAATTCTTGTTCATTTTTCTCATGTCTATCTCCAGTTCTCGGCGTAATGTGTTCTTTGGTCTTCCTCTTTTCCTTTGACCTTCAGGATTCCATGTGAGGGCTTGTCTTGTGACGCAATTGGGTGCTTTCCTCAATGTATGTCCTATCCACTTCCAGCGCTTCTTCCTGATTTCTTCCTCCACTGGGATCTGGTTTGTTCTCTCCCACAGTACGTTGTTGCTAATAGTGTCCGGCCAATGGATCTGAAGTATTTTGCGTAGACAACTGTTAATAAACACCTGTATTTTCTGGATGATGGTTTTTGTAGTTCTCCAGGTTTCTGCCCCATACAGTAGAACTGTCTTGACATTTGTATTGAAAATCCTGACCTTGGTGTTGGTTGACAGTTGCTTTGAGCTCCAGATGTTCTTCAGTTGTAAATATGCTGCTCTTGCTTTGCCGATCCGCGCCTTCATATCTGCATCAGATCCACCCTGTTCATCAATGATGCTGCCCAAATATGTAAGGGTTTTTACATCTTCCAAGTCTTCTCCGTCAATTGTGATTGGATTGGTGCATGCTGTGTTGTATCGGAGAATCCTGCTTTTCCCTTTGTGTATGTTGAGACCTACTGCTGCTGAGGCTGCTGCCACACTGTTTGTCTTCTCCTGCATCTGTTGTTGCGTTTGGGATAGAAGAACCAGATCGTCTGCGAAGTCTAGATCATCCAACTGCATCTTAGATGTCCATTGTATCCCGCGCTTCCCTTCAGACGTTGACATCTTCATGATCCAGTCGATCACCAGGAGAAAGAGAAAGGGTGAGAGTAAGCAACCTTGCCTAACACCGGTCTTCACTTCGAACGACTTTGTCAACTGTCCTCCATGCACAATTTTGCAGTGTAATCCATCATATGAGTTCTGTATGATATTGACTATCTTCTGAGGCACGCCGTAGTGTCGAAGAAGTTTCCATAGTGTTGTTCTGTCCACGCTATCAAATGCCTTTTCGTAGTCAATGAAGTTGATGTAGAGTGATGAATTCCATTCAATTGAACAGGGTTACCCACTGTCTATTTATTTAATTTGGCCATGAATGTCTTTATGGGAATCACACTTTATTCATCTAACTGTTCAGGGATTTATCTTCTACAGGGCAACCCACTTATTAACTTACAATATGCAGATGAAATAATCCTACTCAGTGACAAAATTGACGTTGTGCAGAATATTCTGGTCACCTTGAGTATTAACCCAAGTGTATTTAGGGTGCATTTCTCTCCCTCTAAATCCGAATTGTTGCTTTAAAACTAGTCTGTATCATTGACTATATTAACTATAGGGAGTGAAGTAATTTAAAGTATCAAGCACTTCTTGGAAATCTTATGACCATTCGTGGATTGGTGTCTAATGAAATCCCACCATGAATTCAAAAAGATGGGTTAACTCTTACCAACTTACATCACTTGTGGCCTAGGTGAGATGTCCATCTGCCAACCAAAGAGCGAGAAGGCTGTACGGCAGTCCATCCTGTATTACTTTATAATTACGAAACACTCTTTGAAAGTAAAAGATATGCATTGACTACATGCTTTGGACCCTACATGTATTCGAACCATCGCTCGCGCTAAATGTAAAGACCGAGTGAGCGATGTTAATCTTAGGCATAGGGTACTAAGCAAAGATGGCAAATGAGTGGATGTGGTTATAAATCTTCATCAACTGAGGTAGTCAGGATATATTACACATAATTAGTCACAAGGTGATGCTGCCTGGTATACGAATAGGTTGAAAGAAAGCTAAAGGCGGTAAAAATAATGCATGACATCAGTTAATGAAGTCATTGGCCTCTGTTGTGAGACATCTGGGTAGAAGTTGGAGATGCGTGGTACAGCAGATGCATTTGTTCTTTACTCTGCTCTAGACCTTGAATCCCAGTATTATTTCATACACGACTCGTTACTGTCTTTTTGAACCAGATTCTCAATGTTTAGCCCTTTGCATCGCTACTATATTACTTCAACTCCTTCACCGTACATCTTGTTAATTTCATCCCGTCGCAATTTACGTGGTATGGCAACATGGGATAACGCACACCTGCGCCAGGTTCCATATTGATTATGATTGACTGGGTTTTTAAATACTGGCAAGTTGAATTAATGTGCATTACAATAGCTCATCAATTTGTAGAACAGAATTAATGTAGCTGTTGATTACTTAACTTAATACGAATTAGTTCAGAATCAAATACTTTTGCGTATTGATACTAATTAAAACAGGTATTACGTTGAAACACTACAGAGTTAGACTATTTAGTGGGCTTAAATGGAGTAAACAGGAATTGTGTGTAGAAATCCGAAAAATACCTCTTAGAAAAACTTTGTTAGAGTTAACCATATATCTTTCAGAAACCAGAGCAATAACATAAATATTTGTTTCCTTACAATGACACTTCCCCGTTTGAAATTTATTATCCTTATTGACATGTTGAGATTGTTTTGTTAGTAAGCAAAAAAACTTTGGTTAATCAATCTGATCATTTTAGGATTAAAACACAAAAACGAGAAAAAAACAACGAACATACTAGTCCTCTGCTGTCCTGACTAATACGATAATGATAGACTCTTCCTAAGTGGCGCACAGTTACAGAAAGTTGACCAGGTGCAGACTCTGATGCTCTAACCAGAAAGAACCTGTGATACCACTTCGAAGGAGATGTTCTCCAGCTTGTCTTGAGACAGCACCATGATACCATGAATATGGAAAAAGACTTGGTTCTAAAAGACTTAGCGGCGATGAATCCATCATTAAATGATGAACAGGTCCCTTGTTTGATACGTTTTGTACCCGTGATTGCATATGGTCATTTGCAATAATTGGTTGTGAATTAGATAAACAAGGGGCATTAACTGAGCAATTTGGCTTTTCTGAACCTCCACAACTAATTAACTGTTGTGAATAAGACTGTTTGAAGGAGCAGAACTTTGGAAGACATTTGTAATAGCTAAGTAACTCGTTGGTACCATCCACGTCTGTAATTATTGAACAAATACATACAAGAAGTATTTACACTGTTCCCAGTTTCCCTGGTGGGCCCATGATTATGCTTTACAGTAGCTCCACCTGTGCATTGAGAAGGATGACTTTCTGACCCGGAAGTAGAACTACCCGGTTCAGGTTTGGGGAGAGGTGGTAAGACAATAGAAGCTTCCACCTCAGACCAGTCTCCAGCTGGACTATAGCTTAAAAGGCGTACCAATTCACCTGAAAATCAACAGAATTTATAAATAAGAATAAGCATTTGTGAGATGCAGAATCAACTAGGTAAAACAAACAGTACTCTCTATGATGACTCTCCAAACCAGTACAATAACGGAGTAGATAGGTAGTAAAACGCTTATCAGAATAAACTCCCACCGTGAAATCAACATGAGATCTTTTAGAATAGATTTAAACAGATGTTTAATAAGATTCGAACTTATGATATATGCATCACATAACAAGACAGTATAAGTAATGTTCATAATTTACAAAGTCCAGTATGAGAAAATCGACAAGAGGAACGGCAGAAATTTGCACTTGGAGATGTAGCTGAACTGGCACTAACTGACTATATTTCTATTGATATGTATAGGCTGAGACAGTCCAGTACCCACTACTTAGTAGTTATCTGGAGGGAAATTACAACAAAGCTCTGTTCAACAACTTTGACAAGATTTTGACGTCTAGTTTTGAAATTTCGAAGGATAGCGTGTGATGAAATTTATGAACTTGCGAAATAAATAGTAACTAGAAGTATGCAAGAACCGAAGACAAGATCTGAACTTAACTAACGAAAAAACTAAGTGCCAAGAACGAATGAATTTTACCAATGCACGTCAAAATAACCAGTCGTGGAATTTAGGCGCGACAATAACTACTGAGCACTTAAATAGAGAAACTGTTCATAATGGTGCATCAAACATGGTGTACTCTGTATTTTTGGACAGTGAGATTGAAGTACTGAAGACGATTAAAATTTGAACTTTTTCTGAGTTTTTTTACATCTGTAACATAACGATCTGAGATCGGTTTTGAGACTGAATAATCAAGAGATACTCTCTAACTGAATGAGTGCAGTGAAGCTTAGCAATAAATAAGTAAGCTACTTTTCCCACATCATTAATCACTGAAAACGCTGAGAGAAAATGGAGCAATATTCAATATGACCTATTGTTTTCGAAAACTAAAAGCGGATAAATGACAGTCACAAAATGATCAGATCCGATAATTATTTCTGATACGAAGTAGATGACGATCAAGAACGACTTAATATTATTTATTCTACGTGAAAGTGATGACAGAGGCAAAAGATTATTTTGCCTGAGGGAACCACACAATTTGAGCTTGTGGTAAAACTAGTAAATATTAAACGTCCGAATCGTTCTCATCAACATAAACGTCTTAAGACCTTATACAATGAGATTTCAATATTCAGACTTATACACAATGCTTAACAAGGTTCGCGGGCCTCCGTTACCAAGCCCACCTGAAATGATATCCACTATGATTTCTGACCAAACTTGATCATCTTTTATTCGGTCCCTTTCACTATGATGCCCTTTAACAACTGTTGTGCAGAAGCACATTCTTCTCAGGTTACTTTTAGCAGTTGTGAACAGTCTCAACATGTACACATTTTATTCTCATCATAGTTATTCCCGGTTTCACTTTGCATATTTACTTGACGCACTGATTCTTTGGTGAGACTATAATTTACGGACGACCTTTGAGCGACGCTGAAGTGACCTTGAGTGGACACCTACTGATTAGGCCTAAATGAGGGTTATAAAGCAGTTAAGATTCTCATTTACAGTTTATGGCTAGGATTAAAAATTAGACTTTGGGTTTTCATCACGAACTGACATCAGCTATAATGTCAAAACTCTATTTAGCCAAATGTATGGATGAATTTTGCGTTAAAATTCGTGACTCGTTATCTTATATCTGATTGGTTCATCCGTAAATTGTAGTCTCGCCGATTCTTTTACTTTATTATGCCACCACTTTAAACAGATTTTTAACAAACTACACGTGGACGTTAATGACCTAGTTTCAATTATTATCAATGATTTCTCCTAATACATAGAAATGCGTCGTTTCCTTCTATTTGTGATATTAAAGCCTGGCAATAGATCGTAGAAAGAACATACTTGCTTAAATTGTTTGTTTAATTTATGATAGTGGGGATACTCAGTTCGTTACTAAGCAAAGACCAAATAGTTATGTTTTAAGGATATTTCGACGTTCTAGAAACATCTTACACTATGATCCAAATCAAATATACGAAATAAAATGTGACTTCGTCTTACTTTGTTGATTTTTACAAAATTAGGTGGAGAGATCCACCACTTTTCATAGTGCGTCCACCAAAAAGGCAATATAGTTTACCGAAATTTTAGCGTGCGATGCTTAAAGCATATGCGTCTCCCAAGACTCAGTAAACTATGACAGTAGACGTTTTAGATGCTAAACACGGAATTTTAAAAGGAGACCAACAGGAAAGAATGTACGTCATTCCATACGTACTAATCCGCACTGTCGACTAGCACTTAAGTAATATTACGGTTGGTAAGATGCAAATTAGTTCAACTTTAAGTTTACTAGTTCGTCCAAAATCTTTACGGTATAAACATAAATAAAGGTGAAAAGCTCGTGTAAATTGAAGTAGTGAATACCGATACCCTCCCTCCTTGTTATGTAGCTTAATGGTGATAGTAAGTTTCGTATTTTGTACATTTTTATGACCACAAAGCTGAAAGCTGTTATGTTCCTTATTCGTAAGCATTTGGCTATAACATGGCAAAGTAATTAAAAAGAATATGTTTCCGAAATCCAGTCCCAACCAGGACACGTCTTGCAGTAATTAATTTTCAGTGCTAATACTTTTTCAAACTACTGCTGCTTTTTTCTCGCCCAGCGCAAGTGAAAAATGCACTAGACTATATGTCAAGTGGAATATATTCATCACAGTGAGAACTGACCTCGCTTAATGCTGATTTGAGAACTCATTGATTCGGCGAAGTCGTATAATACGACCATAATACCTCCTCGACCCAGCATGAGGGAATCATTGGAATTTTGCGCATCCATCTTTGTGTAAGAACGAATATCAGCTAGTTTTTCTGTCATTCTGTAAAATCAAGATGAAGATTTACCGTCAACTTTGTTGAGGTCAGCCAGTTTAGGGTTTTTGCTCAGGTCAGAAGTATCAACCCTACTCGCGAGATTTGGCTCATCTTTTGGTACTGTCAGTTTACTATTATATCCTCCCATCAGATATCCGACTCCACTTCATCGGAAGCTCACAAGCTTTCATCAATATTAAAGCCCCGCCCCTGGAGCATTACATACACATTTGGCGCTCAGTAAATGGTATTCCACAATACCCTGTTACATTGAATACAGCAGAATTGTCTTCCTAATCACTAGTCAATTCTAGACTGCATTTACTTATTTAGATGCTACGCAGTTAAATTTCAAAGCAAAAATAGTTTTATGATCATATTGGGGTGCGAAGCAAACTTTGTTCATTAATCTTGTCTGATCGTTTATTGGGGATATATTGAATTGCTCACTACCATACGATTACTGAAAAATATTATCTAACAACTTCAAAAATACCTGTAAAAACCCATCTAGTTATTTTGCTTTGGCGTCTCAATTCTGGAGACCGATTTCATTTTACCTGTCTTCACTGCAATGAATATAAACACCTGGTCATAATAGCCCCAAGACGTTTTAGATTCGGGCTTATATTTCTTTATTAGGTACGGAAAGTCAAGGGAATAGATGGCTTTTTTCTTTAGGCTTGTCTTTTCCTGAAAGAGTCTGTAGCTGTAACTAAGTCTCCCCGAAACATAGTTCAGCATGTCTTTGACATCGATGTTCTAATAGATACACTCCTAGATGGAGGCTATTGATCAACCAACCCCACTAAATCAAGTTTATGTGCTCTGTGCTACACACCCCTTACGGAAGTTAGTTAACCTGAACGTCATATGCCTTCATATATTGAACATAGTCCTAATTATTTACTTACTTACGCCCGTTACTCCTCGTGAAGGAACATAGGCCGCTCACCAGCATTCTCCATCCAACCCTGTCCTGGGCAATCCTTTCCAGATCCGTCCAGTTGTTATTCATCCTTTTCATATCTGCTTCTATTATCCGACGCAATGTGTTCTTTGGCCTTCCTCTTTTTCGCTTCCCTTCAGGATTCCAAGTTAGGGCTTGCCTCGTGATGCAGTTTGACGATTTGCGTAATGTATGTCCTATCCATTTCCATCGTCTTTTCCTAATTTCTTCTTCAGCTGGAAGTTGGTTTGTTCTCTCCCACAGAAGGCTATTGCTGATGGTATCCGGCCAATGGATGTTGAGTATCTTGCGTAGACAGCTATTTATAAATACTTGTACTTTCTTGATGATGGTTGTTGTAGTTCTCCAAGTTTCAGCTCCATACAGTAGAACTGCCTTGACGTTCGTATTGAAGATTCTCACTTTGATATTGGTTGAAAGTTGTTTTGAGTTCCATATGTTCTTCAATTGTAGGAATGCGACCCTTGCTTTGCCGATCCTCGCCTTTACGTCTGCATCTGAACCTCCTTGTTCATCGATGATGCTTCCCAGGTATGTGAAGGACTCTACATCTTCCAGAGTTTCGCCATCAAGAGTGATTGGATTGCTGTTCTTTGTTTTGAATTTGAGGACCTTGGTTTTCCCTTTGTGTATGCTGAGGCCTACTGATGCAGAGACTGCTGCTACACTGGCTGTCTTCATCTGCATCTGTTCGTGTGTACGTGATAGGAGGGCTAGGTCGTCTGCGAAGTCCAAATCGTCTAATTGATTCTGAGCTGTCCATTGTATTCCGTGTTTTCCTTCAGATGTCGAGGTCTTCATAATCCAGTCGACCACCAGAAGAAAGAGGAAGGGAGAGAGTAAACAGCCTTGTCTGACTCCAGTCCTTACTTGGAATGCATCTGTCAGCTGTCCTCCATGCACTACTTTGCACTGTAGTCCGTCGTATGAGTTCCGGATAATGTTGACAATCTTCTCAGGAACTCCGTAGTGTCGAAGAAGTTTCCATAATGTCCTCCTATCTACACTGTCGAATGCCTTTTCATAATCAATGAAGTTGATGTATAGTGATGAGTTCCACTCAACTGATTGTTCGACGATGATCCGTAGTGTTGCAATTTGGTCTGTGCACGACCGATCCTTACGGAATCCAGCTTGTTGATCTCGAAGTTGGGCGTCTACTGCATCCTTCATCCGGTTCAGCAACACTCTGTTGAAGACTTTCCCTGGTATTGACAGTAGTGTAATGCCTCTGTAGTTTTCACATTTGCTCAGATCTCCTTTCTTTGGAATCTTGACGAGGTGTCCTTCTTTCCAGTCCATCGGCACTTGTTCCTCCTCCCAAATCTTTTTGAATAGAAGGTATAGCATGCTTGTGGTTGCTTCGATGTCTGATTTCAGTGCTTCAGCTGGTATGTTGTCGGGTCCTGCTGCTTTCCCGTTCTTGATTTGTCTGACGGCCATTCTAATTTCTTCCGTCGTTGGTGGGTTGACATCTATAGGAAGATCTATGTGTGCTGCTTCGATGTCCGGTGGATTCATTGGAGCCGGCCTATTCAGGAGTTCCTCGAAGTATTCTACCCATCTGTTACGCTGTTGTTGAATTTCGGTGATTGGCTTGCCTTCTTTGTCTTTGACCGGCCTCTCTGGTTTACTGTATTTCCCTGCTAGTTTCTTCGTTGTATCGTAAAGCTGTTTCATATTTCCTTCTCTAGCAGCTTTTTCTGCCGTCGTTGCTAGTTCTTCCACGTATTTCTTCTTGTCGGCTCTAATGCTCCTCTTCACTTGTTTGTTTGCTTCTATGTATTCAGCTTGTGCTTGGACTTTCTCTGCTCGTGTTCGGCTGTTGTTAATTGCTGCCTTCTTGTTCTTCCTTTCTTTGATCTTGTCCAGTGTTTCTATAGAGATCCATTCCTTATGATGGTGTTTCTTTAGGCCCAGAACCTCTTGACACGTTGAAGTTAATGCTTCCTTGATGCCTTTCCAGTTGTCCTCCATACTAGTTTCTTCTTCTTCAGTAGATCTTGTAAGGCTTGGAACCTGTTGTTGAGAGCTATCTTGAATTCATTGAGTTTGTCAGTATCTCGAAGGAAGGCTGTATTGAACCTTTGTAGTGCTGTTTGTCCACTTGTCCAGTTCTTTTTCAGCTTCAGTTTTAAATTGGCTACAACTAGGTGGTGATCTGAAGCTACGTCAGCACCTCTCCTGGTTCTCACATCTTCCATTGTCCTTCGGAATTTTTTGTTGATGCAAATATGATCTATTTGGTTCTCTGTAGTGTGGTCCGGTGAGATCCATGTAGCCTTGTGTATACGCTTGTGTGGAAATATTGTGCCTCCTATGACCAATTTGTTGAATGCACACAAATTTGCAAATCTTTCTCCATTTTCGTTTCTTTCTCCCAGTCCATGTCGTCCCATAATATCTTCATATCCAGTGTTGTCTATTCCGACTTTGGCATTTAGATCTCCCATCAGAATAGTTAGGTCCTTTCTTGGCATTTCTCAATGATTGACTGCAGCCGCTCGTAGAACTGATCTTTAATGTCGTCGTTGCTATCATTGGTGGGTGCATAACATTGGATAATATTCATTAAGATCCCCTCCTTCTTTGTTTTGAATGATGCTTTGATGATTCTGGATCCGTGAGACTCCCATCCTACAAGTGCATTTCGTGCTACTTTGGACAGCATAAGAGCGACTCCCTGAGTGTGTGGAGCATTGTCCTCTTCGTGACCGGAGTATAGCAGCATCTCTCCCGTAGCTAGCCTTTTCTGTCCAGCTTGGGTCCAGTGGGTTTCGCTGATTCCCAGTACTGCTAAGTTGTATCTCCTCATTTCCATTGCTATTTGACTGGTCTTCCCGGTTTCCCACATTGTTCGAACGTTCCATGTACCTATAAAAATTTTTGCTCTGGTTGTTAGAAGGGGCATCGGCCTCGTGGCTTCCGAAGGAACTCGGCTTTCACCATGAAGCGTCATAATTCTTCTAACTGAAGACCTTCTAACTCCCAGGGCAGAGTTTAAATGGTTTGAATTATTTTTTCTGGTAAGCGTTTTTTTAGCGAGTTAGTTTTCTACGGGATGGGGACGCTAACCCCATGCCCAACCCTCCTCCTTTACCCGGGCTTGGGACAAGCAGTAACTCTAGAAGAGCTACAGGAGGAGTTAACATAGTCTTAATACGTCTGAATAATCCGTCCTCGATTTCGGTGACAGCGTTGCGAAGAGCATTTTACCCAGGACATCTTCAAATCAATTCGAAGTGTGAACACCACCTAATTCTGTAATAAATTTTAATAGTTGATGATTCAATGTGAGCAGGGATATTTTTTCCTTCTCACCTATAGTGCACTTCGATTTGTCATGAGTGAGTTGGGGGAAGGAGATAGAATATGCTGGGTTCACAATAACTTCCTATTATTATATAATAATAATAATAATTTATTCTCAAATAACAGTTTGTTACATGAGGCATGCCAGTTTACAGGCAAGATCAAATTGATACAAATGATACAATGTACACTGTATTAAATTACATAGCTGGGTTGAAAGTTTATAAGACATGAATGTAGATTGTTTTCATCAGTACTATAGTTGGCGCGCTTCACGAGAGTTGCGTTGCGAATGTGCGACTGACGGTCAAGAATAGGTCCATTGAAGGTATGAGCTTCTAGAAATCGCAACCTTATGTCCCTTTGGGATATCCCGTACATTGTAATTAAATCTATTAATCTGTTACAATACAAAGTGTGGCGGTCTAACTTTACGATGTGCACTGTATACGGTAAGTCACACAGCTCCATGGTTGTATAGTTTGCCACTACTTTCTTGGGCCATTCGGGTACAATGTCTTAATTTTTATCTTATCGAGGCAGTGTAACAAGCTGGAAATCATCTAGAGTTGCTTCTGGTCCCAAGTTCGGAGTTAAGGGAGAGGGTTGAGCATTCCGAACTCATTATAAAAAACCGCGTCGCTAAATTCCTGACCAGGAAAAAATGCGTGACTCCTTGACAATGCGGCCTGGATGTCGATGTGTTCATGAAGGAGAGCAACTGATATTCCAGTAGTTTGGATTGAGGGCTGATAAACAAGGGTATTGTTATATCCCATTCACACTGGCGTGGACCTACTTAAGCATGATGTCAATGTTTTGAGGTAATGCTGCAACATTAACGTGATCTTATGATCGGAGAGTGCTACTCTCAATAAAGTACGTTGTCTATAAAACGTTCCTGAACATTTCACAGATACCTAATGTGACGAGATCTAA